ATTATAATGGTCCCCTTACTATAGGCTCACAGGGTAGATATATGATTAGATGCTCCATTACATAAAAAAAAATCAGAAGAAAAATATTTGCTCAAGTTTGGACAATATCAACAAAATTCTCACTTCAAGATCTCTCAATGCATCTACTTTCAAATATGATTTTTATATATCTTTGAAGAAATTACTTAGTTTTGATTAATAAACTAAGTGGTAAATTTGGCAAAGCACTAAATGCAATTTGCAGTAAGCACTCCAGAAAATGTGACAGTTATGACTTTGCATGACAAATATCTTCCTTATTCCCAAGTTAGTTACTAGAGATATTCAGAGACTATAACATTCACATATTATTTTTTATTCATCTAAAATTATACAATACTAAGTTTTAGACTTTATCAGTTTTCCTACAGGTATCTCTTGAAGTTCTAACTCCCTCCTCTTATTATGCTCCTTCAAATTCAATTTCACTTTAACATTATCTTGATGTTATGCTTTTTTTTTTATAATATCTTCAACACTGTGATGGTTATTAAGAAAAAAACTAAAGATTATGTTTAATCAAATTGGTCCTCCAATATGATATAACCTAAAGTCAGGAAGATAATGTGAAGATGGTTATGGAAAAAAATAAGAAACTAAAAAATACTTTGTTTATCCAATTATGTGCGACACTGAAGTAAGGAAGATGATGTAAAGATGGTTATAGAGAATCAACGATCTTTAGAAGTTCAAGTGAACTCGAAATGGTTTAAAGGATTCTTAAAAGTTGTTCAAGGTTGTGACCCCAAACACTTTTATGTTATTTTGGATATTTTGAAGAGCAATTGAACTTATTATATTTTGTTCGAAAAAATCATCCCTTAAAACCTTTAGGAACCCGCCAAGTTATGAATTGTGGTCTCTTTTGAACTTAAACCATTAAGGCTTCAATACTACTTATTCACGTAACACTTGGAACTTAAACCATTAAGGCTTCAATACTACTTATTCGCGTAACACTTGTTTTTACTTTGCAATATATGCATGATTATGAATGCCGCAATATATACATGATTATGAATGCTAACATTTCAGCGGAAGCAGCGAGAAGATGACAGGTACACATTTATAGTTTTTTTATTATCATTTTATTTCTGCAATTTACTACTACTTTAATGTATCATACATTCTTGCTTGAAACACTTTTTAAAAGTAAAAACAAATAGTTTTCAAAATTAATATAAACTTTTTTAAAATTAAAAAACATTTTCAAAAACAAACAAACAACATAATACATCATTTTGAATTTACGAGAGGGAGCAGCGAGAAGATGACAGGTAAAAGTTTACAGTTTATTTATTATCATTCCACTTCTTCAATTTATTACTGGTTTAATATACTATGCATGCTTGGTCAAAAAAAATTTCAAAAATCTGGTTTAATATACTATGCATGCTTGGTCAAAAAAATTTTCAAAAATCAAAACAAATTATTTTCAAAATTAAGCTCCATAACACTTGAATGATAACAAAACTTGACACGAAAATTGTTGAACTTGGAGTTGTCACTTCGACGAGGAGCTTGGAGGTAACTCTATGGGCAGCATGACAAGGATGTATAGAAGAACAACTTTGAGAGAGCAAAACCGGATCTACAACAGCAAAATTTTCTTTAGCAATTCATTTAGACTAAGTAAATTTAAAAGAAAATAATGTTATCGGAATGAGGGAACCGTTGGATCCTAACAGATGTCGCTCTAATCAACTTTAACCCCCCCATAACACTTGAATGATAACAAAACTTGACACGAAAATTGTTGAACTTGGAGTTGTCACTTCGACGAGGAGCTTGGAGGTAACTCTATGGGCAGCATGACAAGGATGTATAGAAGAACAACTTTGAGAGAGCAAAACCGGATCTACAACAGCAAAATTTTCTTTAGAATCACATAACAAGTCATAGGATTTCAAGGTAGCCCGTCTAGTGCAACATAAATTCTCAACTCATCTTTAAGCCTTTGCACAGTCATATTGTGCAATTTAAGCTCTAACTCATCTTAGGCTCCGAGGTATTCGTTCGTTACAACATAAACTATTCTATCTTCCAAGCTATTTGTATGAACGTGTCATGCAAGTGTAAGCTCTAAATAATAGAATCACATAACAAGTCATAGGATTTCAAGGTAGCCCGTCTAGTGCGACATAAATTCTCAACTCGTCTTTAAGTCTTTGCACAGTCATATTGTGCAATTTAAGCTCTAACTCATCTTAGGCTCCGAGGTATTCGTTCGTTACGACATAAACCATTCTATCTTCCAAGCTATTTGTATGAATGTGTCATGCAAGTGTAAGCTCTAAATAATAAAAATTGGCATGATGGAACATCAAGTAATCTTTTTCTCAAAACTAAAGCCAAATAGTAGGATAGTCTGAGAAGTCACCGAGGTTCCCCTCGGATCAATGATATCTCCTACCTTTCATTCCTTTGGATTCCTGAGAATAAGTGTTCATACTTGACTCACTCCCTTTTAAATTTTCAATGTCCAATCTTGAAAACTTAAAGTTTGAAATTCTTGAAGGCAAAACCACTGGTCTGAATCGAGAGTATTCTTAAGTGACTTATGCTACTTAAGATGTAAATAACTATATGGGCTTTCTTTTATATGAAAATTTGGAACCCGACTTAATATAAACCCCATTTAATCTTCTATATTAAATAGAGGAATTTTTCGGTCTACATAAAAAGGTTTTGTAGACCAAAACAGATGTAATAAATTCTATAGCTTATTTAATCGAGTTGCTATCAAGTAATGTGTCTATTTCCTGGGATAGGTATGTCACTTGCGGTGTTGCGCTCGTTTATTTAAACTATTAAATATATGAGATCGATTTGGTCTCGTACTTTCAAAATCAAAACTTTATTTTTTTTCAAAATTTGGCAGCCGACTGATTGGGTGTTGCGCTCGTTTATTTAAACTATTAAATATATAAGATCGATTTGGTCTCGTATTTTCAAAATCAAAACTTTATTTTTTTTTCAAAATTTGGAGGCCGACAAATTGCTTTCAATGAACTTATAAGTTTTTTATATAGTTCACTTTCACTTTAATATATGGTTACAGGAAATCAATTTCTTTTTTTTATGGAAAAGAGGATTTAGTGGCTAAAATGAGACAATTAGGTTTACGATTTTATAATGATGCATTTTCTCCTTGACATACCCTTACATCTTGTATCTATAATAAAAAAACATTTAATAAATTCAAGATGATCAAAATATTATTATTTTTATTTCCATGAGTTTCTCATAATTAATAACTCAATATTGTTGGTATTAATGTGTATAATTATTCATAAAATAGGTTAATTCTAACTAATTTAAGATATTATATACATATTTATAGAGGATGGGGCAAGCCCACAAAGTTTGAGAGGCTAAAAAAATATTTATATAATTGTTAGAACCTTATAGAGGTTTACAAATAATTAATTTTAATAGTTTGAATGCTATATATGCTAAGAGATTATTCACAAAAAACTCATGGACACCTATAATTTTTGTGGAGTCTTACAAAGGTTAGTTGTGACTTGTTAACCTTAACTAACATATGTTTCTTTTTAATTTTTCCTAAAAATCTAACTCCTTTTTAAATGGAAGAATTTATTTTAATTTTCAATACATTTGATGTAATATTAAAATCATTCACTTTTGTAAATTTTTAAAATAACATAGGTATATATTGTATTTTACCGACATATTTTATGTTTAATTTTATTTTATTTGCTTATCATCTTTGCTCTTTTGTTTGAGACTAATATTACATATAAGAGACATAGATTTTATTGTAAGTCTAATATTTTGATCTTCATATGCTTAGGTATATCATGTTCAACTAAAAAAAAAACATAAGGCCAACTTCCTAGGTTGATTTATGGTCATTAATATATAAAAGCTCAAAAGGGCTCATGGAGAACAACTTTGGCCATATCATTATTAAAGTTATGCATCATTACTAAAATTAGGTTATGTCTTATGTTTAGCAATTTATTTAATCATTATATATTATCAAAGTTAGAGATTTTTAATATTTTAATTTTTTTTTCTTCATTACTTAGCCTACCACCACAATTTGTTTATTATGTTATAAACAACATATATTCAAGTTGTATTTGTGAACATGATTGTTTTGTTTATTGTCTAAAGTTGCTCTTCTTAAACTATTTTATATCTTGTTGTGTTTTTTAAGTTACATTACTATATCACTATAATAGTTTAATACTTTAACACACTACATGCTCACTATTTTCTTATAAACATAATAGCTACATCAAAAGTTGATGATGAGAAAGGTAAGTATGAAATAAAAATATCATATATAAAAAGTATCCATTTATTATGATTCAGATTTGACTTATGCTAAGAAAGGCAGAGATAAATCTAAGAAAACTTGGGCATGTTCTGTAAAAAATGATGGTAACTTATTAGAATTAAATAAAAATATGACACTCAACAGGATAGTAGATGGTAACTTATTAGAATTAAATAAAAATATGACAGTCAACAGGATAGTAGAGAAAAAGGATTCATATAGCCAACCCCACTTAGTGGAATAAAAACTTGTATATAAATAGGACTATACAGCCATTTTTAGCATCATTAGATATGCATATTTGATGCACCAGAATATCAGATGAGCCAGACTAAATATTACTTGGAACTTGCAAAGTTGAAATAATATAGATGTCAAGTCAATTCAAATCATCCTTGACCTAATGCCATGCAATACAAATCTCTAAAAATAAATTAATAAATTAAATGACTCTCAAACTTATTTTGATAAAGACTTCTCATATATGATCGCAGAAACAAATAATGAATAATAATATCACAATTATATCACTCTGTTCATAATATTTTTCTTTGGCATTACAAGACCAAAAAAAAAAAAACAGAAGAAACATATTAAGTTCCTATAATTAAAAACTTAGAATGAGGGGTGAGAGAAATGGTGGGCTCATATCAATCATGTTACAACCATTCATACTTGAGCCTATCCAAGGCATTAAAATGAATTCAAATCACCAACACAAGCAATGTAATTCTTTCAGTTATCAAAAGCATGTACAAATAAAAAACTATGAAAACAGCCACTCCCCACAGCAATTCCTAGTACTGCTAATCCATGAACTTACTGTCCAAGTTTCATGAAGAACAGCAGCACAATTCACATAGTTCAAAACTTTAAACAACAAACGGGAGAGCAATGCTGCTTTGCTAAAAGGTTTTCCTATGTGAAAATGACTGCCTTTCTGAAATGGGGATCAGAATCTCAAGAACATTTCTAAGAATTCCTTTGTCATACACATTATTCTTAACCACCACCTCACTCTGCAAGGGTGATTTGCGAAAGAACTGCCTGCATTTGCTCTCAGGGACCTTAACTTCACCGTTCACTGAATGAAGGCTGGCCTTTAATGCTGCAGCACTAGCCTTGGCTTCATTCAGTTTCCTCCTCCATTCCAAATACTCTTGCCACTTAAATGTCTGTTTATTTCCATCAAGGTAGGTAATCCAACATTAATGAAAGCTTATTGTTCAGCATGGATGCCAAGCAGAAATAACTGCTCATAAAATACCTCATTTGTCGTTGTGTTTGTGAGGCAAAGTTGAGCATGGTAGCCACAAAAACCAGCAAGGAGTATGGAAACGACGACTAGAAACACAATTAGAAGCACCTGTGTGTTATGGGCACTCAAAAGCCACTGCAAATTTGGTAAGGTTGTAACTTCAGAAAGGGAGCATGGAAGAAATAGAAGAACTAATGGAAGAAATATTTATTTACCTGAACTAAATGTGGGAACACACTGTAGAATGATTTATCAATGCCATAATAAACTGAAACGAGAGAAACAGAGTTAAAAGTAAGTTAAACGTATCGAACTTTGAAAATCAATGAACAGAACAATTTTAATGTATGTGAGCCTTACCTGTTAATATGAATATGATTTTCCTTTCTTTCAACTGTCCGGCAAGAATCAAGCCAAGGACAATAGCACCATATAAACATAAAAGTGCATGCCTAAAAGAGAGAATTGAGATTAAGAAATAAAGGTTGAGAGCTTTTCTAAAACCTTTTTGTTTTAAATAATGTTCTCATGCACTAGCAATTTAAGGACAGAGTTTGAAACTTTTAATATATTTCACGCATAGTCATTTCCAATACAGTCCCTCTCTCAAGAAATTTTAATATGTTTCACGCATAAGTATTTCCAATATATATATTATATTGAAATTTATATTCCTGTTTTGAACCAGAGCAGAAGGAGAATACAAGCCCTTTTCAATGCAACTTCTGTGTTTCTTACATTACCGCAATGTTTTGGCTTAATAAATTGAAGTTTCTAATTTTGATTTATATTCTTGCTACAAGTTTTCGATTTAATTCTACCTACAGGTGGGCAGGTTTATGCGTGTGTGTTCGAAAGTAACTTTACAATCATCACCCTTTAATCAATATAATTCCTGATTGGCATATTCCATAGAACCTTCTGGCTAAAAGAAATCAGAAAAACACTAAAATATAGAGGCCAAAATAAGAACATATTAAGAACACTACAGGTAAAATCAAGTAACACTCCAAGATATAAGAAATGATCATTTCATCTAATATCAGGTCACTCCACCATGCAGTCATCACATTTCCTTGGTATTTAAAATTTATAGTCTATCATAAAGCAATAGTATGGATAGGTACAGTAATTTGTTTCCAAAATGATCAGACATGTTTTCTTAAGTTTTTAGCACTTAACCAGAAGTTAATACATATAGTCAGTTCTTCCATCTTACATTCCTAAACTTCTAATATTTAAAACTAGGCCTAAACACTTAACAACAATCACGTACTGCATGGACAAAGTACTATCAGTAATGTAAAAAAGATGTATCATTACAATAATTACACATGATTTTGTGCAATTATAAACCAATGATTGGACAAGTCTTCAAGGTATACCTACTTGGTTAAGTATCAATTTTTTTTAAAAGGAAATATGAAAATTCTCTTAGCACTTTGAATATGGTACATAAAGCCAAAACAATGAAAGAGCAAAATATATTTTTGTAATAATAAAGGCACATGGCTGCTCACCAAAGTAGATATGCCATGAAATATCGAGTGTTTTTCTCTCCAATGCAATTATTCTGCAAGAAATAAGATATTTTACACTACAATTACTAGAGAGATATATGTTGCAAAGAAAAAAGTTTAAAAGAAAAGTAAACACATGCATAGTACTTGATCAAACAGGAGATGTAAAGCTTCTATTACTTTTCATTTACTAGGTACACGGATATCATTACCATAATCATCATCATAAGATCTTCTAAATTTATCTATTGTGTCAAGGGAAGGGTAGAGGTGACATAACACATTTCGAGTTTTAAGGAGAAAAATAAAAAAAATAATAATAAAATTAAAAATTGCAGGCATGATAATTAAGTGCTACTTAATAAATGCAGTTCCCTCTTCAGCAGTTTTGACTAGTAAAAGAATTTTAAGATATCTTTAACAAATCTCGAGTTCTTTTTTATTTTTTTTTTAATTCCCATGAAGCAATTAAAGTTGATCTAATATTCCAGGTTGAAGTTCATTAAGATACATTCGATGCAAGCCACAAATTTAAATTGTAAGCATAAAAAAAAGAAATTCACCATCCATCCGCAGTGATGGTCAAACCGCGAGACACATCTATCACAAATGCCACAATGCTTGGATCTAGCAGGCCTGCACTAAAGTTGTACTCCCAATAGACCTTTCGGGTGACAAAAAATAAAGTAAATTAACTAGACAACAATGCAACATACTTTGGAATTTTGCAAGTTGGGCACTCCTTCTCAAAATATAAAATGCTGTCATAAGGATAAGCAGATATATATTGAGAAACATTCTTAGCATTCACGGTTCCTGGATCAGAAAAGCTCGTCAATAGAAAGAGTATAACACCCACAACAACGGCCAAAACACTTGTATACCTGCAAAAGGGCATCGAATTTTCAGGTTGGTAAGAATATACTAATAGCCAAAACCATCATGGCAACAGGTTATTGAGCTTAAAGTTATCAAAATTACTTGTGCAGTTCATTCACATAAACTCCAGGAATATATATGAAAGATGACTTCGCAATGATGTAGTAGGTTCCCCCAAGTATGCCCAGGTAGAATAGCTGCCATGACATGATAGAGTACCAGTTTTTTTAATGTGTAATTTTTCTTACCAAATATAAGTATTAATAAATGTAACAAAGAAAGAATGCACAGGCGATAGAAAATTGTAAAGTCCACAACAACAACAACAACAACAACAAGCCTTTATCCCACTAAGTGGGGTCAGCGAAATGAATCTTTTTTCTCCATTGCGCCCTATTGAGTGTCATATTTTCATTTAATCATGATAGATTAAGACCATTTTTTATACAATTTAACCAAATTTTTTTAGGTCTACCTCTATCTTTCTTAACATTAGTCGAATCTAAAATATCTACTTTCCTAACAGTATCATCAGATGGTTGACGTTTAATGTGACCAACCCATCTAAGACAACTCTCTCTTATCATCAGAAAATTGTAAAGTCCAATTAGTTAAAAAGAGAGATTATAGAACTCAACACTAAAACTAGCCCTTAGTTAAAAAGAGAGATTATAGAACTCAACACTAAGTTTACCATTTAATAAATACGATAAGTGGTTCAGGTTTGAGTTCAAACAAAGAAAAGTGGTTTGTTACATGCACATATTGTATCTGTTATTTTCTTAGTTTACCATTTCATAAATACGATAAGCCAATGGGCAAGTCAATAACAATCAAGTAGAGTTTCACAATGGCCTTGTGGTTGGAGATTGGCCTAAGTACCTAACTAAAGTTACGAGGGCCAGGTCAGGTTCCTTATCTAATGGCTTGACAAAAAATAGCATGATGGCCTTGCCTATATGTTTGAAGGCATTAGTGCTGTCATGATCACAGCATATAGCGTTAATGTCATAAAGCCATAGTCTTCCTAAAGGATATGCGTTATGCCCATGAAAAGGATGTCATATTAAAATTCATAACTAGCTAGTTTAATTAGAATCAGGCATCTAGTGGCCAAAGATGAGAAGCAAAGATGCCTTCATTGTAGAAAATAGGTTTGGAAAAGAATAAATCTCTTTCTTCTTATTAATCACATGTGGGGTATACATTAAACAATCCCTCCTAATTTACAAACTTACCAAATATATATAATCTAAATTAGGAAAGGAAATAATTCTGAAAAAAAAAATAAAATAATATAGAATATGAAGAGAATAAATTATCGAGAGTTTCCTAAGTTGTCTCAATCAAATCTTTCAGGGTCCTCTTAGATTTTCACACTCTCACTCAAGTTGGATCGTAGATTTTATAGAGACCAAGCTTAATATTGAACTCTGAGAAGGTGCTTAGAAAAAGAGCAATGGTGAGGACATTAACAACTTGTTGGTGTGTCAAGATATAGTTTAAATGTATAATTCCCCCATTAACATTTTCAAAGATGAAGTGTCTATCAACTTAAATATACTTGGTCATATTAAGAAGCACAGGATTATTGGCTATACTAATAGATACTTGACTATCACAAAATATTTGTATAAGCCTATTGGAGATACATCCTAATTCCCTTAACAATTTCTAAATCCAGATCCCTTCACAAATTCTCAAGGCAAGTGTCATATAATCTGATTCTAAACTACTTCAAGAAACAACCGCTTGCTTCTTATTTCTTCATGTCATCAGATTTACTCATATATAGAAGCAGTAACATGTGTTGGACCTTCTGTCAGTAAATTCCCCAACCCAACTAGCATCAGTGCAACTTTCCACCTCGTTGTTCATAGTTTTCTCAAAATTAATCCATAACCAAGAGCCTTCTTGAGAAACTTCAGAAAGTAGACCATCTCCAAGTACTCTTCATTTGATTTATTCATGTGTTGGCTCACAATACTAACAGAGTGTGTAATATATGGTCTCGTATATAATAGGTAGATAAATTTTCCTACCAATCTTTAAAATCTTCCCTTACCCATAGACGTTTTCTTCTCCCCACTTTGAATTCTGGTTAGGATTTATTGGAATATCAACAGGCTTACATCCAATCATTCATATCTCATAGATGTATTTTCTCTATGATATAGTGATTCCTTTCTTGGACCTTGCTACCTCCAACCTAGAAAATATCTATGATATAGGTCTTTGATTTCAAATTCAATGGCAAGCACTTCTTTGAGCTTGAGAATCTCTTTTTCATCATCACCAGTAAGAATTATATCATCAACATATAATATCAGTGCAGTAATCTTACCTCGCTGAGTGTGCTTTACAAATAGAGTATGATTGTCTTGACTTCGAGAATTCCCATTAGATCTCATAGTTTTAGCAAAATTTTCGAAACACACTCTTGGTGATTGCTTAAGCCTATAGGAAGACTTCTTGAGTTTGCATACTAGGTGTTTGTTGGAAATCTCAAGTCCTAGCAATATTTCCATATATACTTCTTCCAGATCCCCATTTAGGAAGACACTTTTTATGTCAAGTTGATGCAGTTTTCATTCCTTGTTAACTACTATTAAAAAAAGCTCTGATAGTGTTAAGTTTGGCAAATGGTGCAAATGTCTCTTCATATTCGATCCCATAGGCATAAGTGAAACTTTTTACAGCAAGTCTGGCTTTGAATCTCTCAATATCCCACATTAGCTTTGTATTTGATATTGAGCACTCATTTGTACCAACAGGCTTCTTACCTAAGGAAGTTTAGTAAGAATCCATGTACCATTATGCTTTAGTGCTCAAATCTCCTCTTTAACTGTTTTCCTCCATTTTGTATTCTCAAGAGCTTCATGAATGAATTTAGGAATCTACATACTATTTTGGTTAAAAATAAAAATTTTGTAAGATAAGGATAACTTCTCATAAACTACATACTCTTGAATTGGCTATCTAATGCAGCTTCCTTTGTCACCAACATCAGAAGAGGAAGAGACTAACTCGTGAGTGCTAGACTCCTCCTTACTCAAAATTTTAGGTGAATGCATACTCGGGTTTTGGTTTGAGCAGTTCTATCCTTGCAAATTGTCTTCCACCTATTGAAATTTTTTTTTCTTGTGTACACACAAAGTTCTTTGTTCTGGACTTCAAGTTAGGTTGGTTAGCTATCCTCAATCAGGATAGGAAGAGGGCTAGGTGGAGTAAGTGGTGAGACCATGTAGGTGTTATCAAGTGCATCCCAAAATTAATGTGTATTTGCACTCTCCCACTGAACATCAAACTTGGGGTAGTTGGATTGGTTTTTAAAAAATATGACATTCACGAAATTATAATATTTTCTAGTAACATGAGAGTAGCATTTATACCCCTTTTTATTGGTGACAAACCAAAGAAAAATATACTTGAAAGATTTAGGATCTATTTTGTGCAATTTTGAGAATGGTCGTGAACAAAGGATATGCACCCAAAGATTTTAAGTGGGATATTAGAAAGAGATAGCTATGATATGAGGATAAGCAACTATCAAAATATGAAGAGGTGTTTAGAAGTTAAGTATCTGGCTCGACATTCGATTAATAAGGTATGTTGTAGTAAAAATTGTTTCTCACAAAAAATATTTAGAAACTTGATGAGACATCATAATTAAGCAGGATACCTCAAGGAGATAAATGTTCTTTCTCTCAACTATTCTATTTTGTTGTGGAATATCAATACATGAGCTCAAATGGATAATTCCATTTTTTGAAAGATATGACTCAAGGATAATTGAAATATTCTTTTGCATGAACAATTTTAAAGATCTGAATTTTGCATTGGAATTAAGTTTGAATCATGTCATGGAAAGTTTGGAAAACTTGGGTTGTTTCAAATTCTCCTTTATTGGAATACCCAAATGGTTCTTGTGTGATCATTAATAAATGAAACAAACTATCTGGCCCTAGTTAGGAATTTCACCTTTGAACATCACTATAGAAAATGGCAAAAGAGTGTGAGGGTTTGTATTGGGTCAGAAGATAATTATTTCTAGTGTATTTGACAAGTTAACAAATCTCATATTGATATAAATTAGATTTTTTTTTATTGATAAATAAATGAATGTGCAACTTTGTAACATTATTAAAATTGGGATGACCCAAGTGACAATGTCATAACAAGACCTAATTTTTTACATACATGGACTCAACAAAAAATGAATGTGGGTGTGTTTAGACAGACTTTTCATGAGAGACCTAATTTTTTACATACATGGACTCAACAAAAAAATGAATGTGGGTGTGTTTAGACAGAGACTTTTCATGAGCAGATATAAGACTTGAAGCATTTCAGCACTATCAATCACCTTCCCCGACTCCATCATCTAAAATTCAAAAGAGTTCGCAAGAAATTTAATTATATATTTCATATCATGAATAAATTTATTGATTGAAATCAAATTGCAGTCAAGCTGTGGAAACAAAATAGAGGAAAAAGTAATATCCTGAGAGAGCTCCACATCTCCTTCCCTAAAAATGTTTGAGTGTGCTTCATCTGCAAATCTTACCGATCTAGATGTAGAAGCCTCTTGATAATTGACTAAAGCACTGATGTCCCCGATCATATGATTATAGGCTCCTAAATCTATGATCTAAGTTCTAAATCTCCCATTACCGGCAAGATGGGAGAGAAGGATATACTACCTCGATGTGTCATAAGGTTGGTGTGTTGTTTTGAATTCCCTCCAAGAAGTTTTTAGTGCTTCAAGTTGCTCCTTGGTGAATGGTTCAATTGGCCCTTCAAATGTGGTAGCAGCATTAGCATCTTTCCTTCTCTGTCTATATTTTTAGTCTGTAGGCTTTCAATGAAGTTTCCAACATTTGTCCTTGATATGCCCAATCTTCTTCCAATAGTCACATGCGGGATGATTCTTCGTGTTTTGAGTCATGGGAGGAGTTGTGAATGTATAGGGTCGAGCTCTCAATAATAGGAGAGGAATAATTCTCTTGATTATCTCAGCTAGTTTAAGATCTAAAGCTCTGATAACATGTTTGGAGAGGAAAAATTCTCTTGATTCTTATGATTGACATATATCCTAATTTACAAACTTACCAAATATATCTAATCTAAATTAGAAAAGAAAATAGTTTGGAAATAAAAAAATAATAACAACATAGAATAGGAAAAGAATAATTTA